CCAGAGAGCCTCAAGAAGGGCCACGAGGCCGCCAAGAGCCCTCCAAGATTGTTCAAGAGTGCTCCGAGATGCCACACGATCGTTCCAAGACGCCCAAGATGGCCCCCAGACGCCCCAAGAGGCCTCCAAGAGCACTCCCCAGAGGGCCCCAAGAGGCAAAATTCATTACTTGTCCTTAGGTTTGGGGCAGATTTTGGCGTGTCCATCTTTTCGGCTTCCCGACGCCCCAAGACGGCCCAAGAGGCCCCCAAGATCGCCCCAAGAGGGCCCAAGAAGCTCCCAAGAAGGCCCCAAGATGGCCCAAGAGAGCTCCAAGACGGCCCCAGAGACATCCAAGACGGCCCAAGAGGGGCCCAAGAGGGCCCCAAGCGATGCCCCAAAGGGGGAACACAAAACAAAACTTCGAGCCCTCGGCCTTAAGAAGCCCCCAGGAGGCCTCAAGAGGCCCCTGAGAGGCCCCAAAAGCCCCCAAGAGGCCCTCAGGAGGCCCCCAAGCGACGCTGAAGAGGCCCCCCAGCGGCCCCAAGAGGCTCAGTCATGCGAAATGGGCCGGCGGAATGAGCGAAGCGATTCAATAATCAAAATTATTCACTGCGTGGGGATCCCCATATGTGCATCTCCTTGCTGGCGCTCCCTTGGTGGTGGGACTCGGTGAGGACGAATCTGGATTTAAGTGTGACTGAGCTGCCTCTCTCTCTCTCTCTCTGCTCTCTCTGTCTCTCTCTCTCTCTCTGCCCTCTCTCTGTCTCTGCCTCTCTTGCCCTGCCTCTCTCTCTCTCTCTGCCTCTCTCTCTGCCTCTCTCTCTCTGCCTCTCTCTCTCTCTGCCTCTCTCTCTGTGCCTCTCTCTCTCTGCCTCTATCTCTGCCTCTCTCTCTCTCTCTCCTCTCTCTCTTCTCTCTATTCTCTCTCTGCTCTCTCCTCTCTCTCTCACTCTCCCTCTCTCTCTCTCTCGCTCTCTCTCTTCTCTTCTCTTCTCTCTTCTCTTCTCTTCTCTCTCTCTCTCTCTATCTCTCTCTCTCTCTCTCTCTTTCTCTTTCTCTCTCTATCTCTCTCTCTCTCTCTCTCTCTTCCCTCGCTCTCTCTCTCTCTCTCTCTCTTCTCTCTCTCTCTCTTTCGCTCTCTCGCTCTCTCTTGCTCTCTCTCGCTCTCTGTCGCTCTCTCTCGCTCTCTCTCTCTCTCTCTCGCTCTCACTCGCTCTCTCTCGCTCTCTCTCGCTCTCCCTCGCTCTCTCCCGCTCTCTCTCTCTCTCTCTCTCTGCTCTCTCTCTCTCTCTCGTCTCTCGCTCTCTCTCTCTATCTCTCTCTTCTCTTCTCTTCGCTTCTCTTCTCTCTCTCTCTCTCTTCTCTCTCTCTCTCTCTCTCCCTCCCCTCTCTTTCCTCTCTCTCTCTCTCTCTCTCTCTCTCTCTCTCTCTTCTATATCTATCTCTCTCTCTCTCTTCTCTCTTCTCTCTTCTCTCTCTCTCTCTTCTCTCTTCTCTCTTTCTCTCGCCTGTCTCCTCTCTCAACTCCCCCTCTCTCTCTCTCTCCGCTCTCTCTCTCTCTCTCTCCTCTCCCTCTCTCTCGCTTCCTCTCTCTCTCTCTCTTGCTCTCTCTCTCTCTCTCTCTCTTTCTCTCCTTCTCTCTCTCTCTCTCTCTATCTTCCTCTCTCTCTCTCTCTCTCTCTCTCGCTCTCTCTCTCTCTCTCGCTCGCTCGCTCGCTCGCTCGCTCTCTCTCTCTCTCTCTCTCTCTCTCGCTCGCGCGCTCGCTCGCGCTCGCGTCTCTCTCTCCTCTCTCTCTCTCTCTCTCTCTCTCTCTCTCTCTCTCTCTCTCTCTCTCTCTCTCTCTCTCTCTCTCTCTCTCTCTCTCTCTCTCTCCTCTCTGCTCTCTTCGCTACTGGCTTCTGACGGAGTCTGGGTTAGGTGAGCCTGAGTGTGGGTGAGTCTGAGTATGGGTACGTCTGTGTGTGCCTGACTCTGAAGAAATGAATCTGAGTGTGAGTGAGCTTGTGTATGAGTGAGTCTGGGTGCGAGTCTGAATCCCAATGGTGCCCCTGGCAGTGTCTGGCGACTAGGAGGCCCGGGTCGACTCCTCTTTGGGAAGCCAAAATGCTGCCCCTGGCAGCGTTTGGTGACTATGAAGCCCCTGGTGGACCCCCCCTGGGGCTCCCAAATGATGCCCCTGGCAGCGTTTTGTGACCATGAGGCTCTCAAGAGATACATGTTGGGGAGGCCAAGCGGCAATTCTAGCTGAGGCGTCCCACCAAAATCGGCGCGAACGGGCTCGTGAGATCAGCCAGGGTGGCTCCCCCTTGGGGCTCCCAAATGATGCCCCTGGCAGCGTTTTGCGACCATGAGGCTCTCAAGAGATACATGTTTGGGGCGCCAAACGGCAATTCTAGCTGAGACGTCCCACCAAAATCGGCGCGAACGGGCTCGTGAGATCAGCCAGGGTGGCTCCCCCTTGGGGCTCCCAAATGATGCCCCTGGCAGCGTTTTGTGACCATGAGGCTCTCAAGAGATACATGTTGGGGAGGCCAAACGGCAATTCTAGCTGAGGCGTCCCACCAAAATCGGCGCGAACGGGCTCGTGAGATCAGCCAGGGTGGCTCCCCCTTGGGGCTCCCAAATGATGCCCCTGGCAGCGCTTTGTGATCATGAGAGAGTGTGAGTGTGAGTGAATGTGACTGTGAGTGAGTCTGAGTGAGAGTGAGTCTCATCTTATCTTATCGAGTCCTATCTTATATTACCTTGATTACCCTCTATCTTATCTTATCTTGAAATCTCTTATCTTGTCTCAGCTTATCTTATATCAACTCATCTTATCGCAGCATATCTTGTCTTATCTTATTACTCCATAGGCTGTCTTATAGTATATATTATCATACCTTGTCATATATCTTATCTTACCTTATCATATATTGTGCTATCTTATCTTATCTTGTAGTATCTTATCTTGTCTTATCTGGTGATTATCATTGGGAGGAGGGAGGCGCGAGCGGGAGGAAGGAGTCCGCGCGTGGGAGGCGTCAGAGTAATAACAAGAACCCCAATCCTTAGGATATGGGGAACAAATCAAAACAACTCGTCACCAGACTATTTTTGGATACTCCTCCTGTAGAGGGACGCGCCCGACTTCACCCAGATGGGGTCCGAGCGCGAAGGGGGCAACGGACACACAACGCCAGAGACACACAAAAGCCAGGACCCCATACATGCTTCAATGCTCCCTCGATGTTCGTCTTCCCTCCGACTTCCCATCTGCTCCCATGTCTGCACGGGAATCGACGGTGTCTCTGTGCCTACGTCTTGAACGTGATTAAAGCTGAGCCACGATGCGCGATGATGAGGATGCAAGGGCCTGGGAAGGCCATGCCGGCACTTCTTGAGCGGGGTGCGGCCAACGAAAGTGGCCAAGAAGGAGCCAACGGGAATTGATGCAAGGGAGGCCTTGGAAAGTCGCTCATCCTTACCATCACTGTTGACAGTGAGTGGGGCCGGAGGATCGCGTCGCACTGGCGATGTGCAGTCCTCTGGCTGCGACTGAGGAGCGCCGAGTCAGGAGCAAAGGGCCTAGTCTGACCACTGCGAGCCACGGGCACGAATAGGCTCCCATCCTAGATCTGAGGAATGGACCGAACACGAACCCGTCCTCCTCCTCCTCCTCCTCCTCCGACCCCTCCTCCTCCTCCTCCCCCTCCTCCTAGATCCAGGGCCCTCGATCAGAGAACTTCTCGGCGCGCCGTTAGTGGCGTTGAAGATAATAGCAGGGGGAAAACCACAAACATTGTACTTTGGAGCACCGCGCGGATTTCTTCGATCTCCGCTGGGGCTCGATGGCGGCGCCTCCGGCGCCGCTCCTAACGCGCTCCGCGCGCCAGGGAGAGGGATCCAGCAAAGATGGAATGAATCCGCGCGGAGCTCTCAAAATGAATGGTTATGCCGTGTTGTCTTGTCCTTCAGATGGGGTCCGAGCAGATGGGGTCGGAGGATCGCGCCGCAACGCCAATGTATCGCCGACGCATCTCGGCGACGCGGGCGAAGCATCAACGACGTCGGCGTGGAGAAAATCGGGCTCCACGTCGAGCCGCATCGGCGATGCATCGGCGATGCGGCGCGATCCTCCGACCCCATCTGCTCGGACCCCGTCTGGGAGACCTAGGCTGACGTCCTCGCGCGTCGTGAACAAAGCTACGATAGGATTCTGTTGGCCACGTTCGGCAAGCAACCTTCCCAGAATCCAGTGAAAAGAGAACAAGCTTTGCGAAGTCCAGTGAGAGCAACCGAGGCGGAGGCAGTTTGACAATCTTCGGCATTGGAGGTCCTCGGAGGGCCCCAGGGCCATCAAAACCTGACTCGGGATGAAGAGCCTGTTCCCAGGAAGGGGCCCAGACTCTGGGGAGCCATGTGGTGAACAAAGACACGGCGCTGGATGTCTGGGCGGGGACGGAAGGCGGAGGGCTGCCTTTATCAAGATCAGCCACATGACGTCATAATCGTCGTCACAGACATCCACAACGACATCAGAATCAAAAGCCTGCCGAACCGACAGTGAAAGCGAAATCGACCGACACCGAAGGACCGAAGGCAGCCTACAAGGAGGCAACGGCGTTGCAACCGACCGAACTCAAACGACCGTACGAAATCGACCGCTGAGCAGCCGAACCAAACCGCGGACAGCCTTGGTCATTATAATAGTCGTTGTCATTATCACCACCATCCCCATCATCATCATCATGGTCGTCGATATCACCATGATCGCGGGGAGGAGGAGGAGGAGGAGGAGGAGGAGGAGGAGGAGGAGGAGGAGAGGAGGAAGGAGGAGGAGGAGGAGAGCAAGGAGGAGGAGGAGGAGAGGGAGCACGGAGGGAGGAGGAGCAAGAGGAGGAGAAGGAGGAGGAAGAAGAGGAGGAGGAGGAGGGGGTGGAGGGGGGGGAAGCGTGAGGATGACGAGGCGGCACAGGACCTGCAGGACTGAGACGGACGAGGCGGACCCTGCCCTGGCCCTGCCCGGGCGCGCTCTCTCCGCACATTTCGGAGCACCTCGCCCGAGATCACAAACGTCGGGCCGCCCACGCGCGCGGGCGGCCCAATGGCCGAAAAAATGATGAGCTGTCCTAAATCAGCCCATGAAGATTGGAAGGACGAAGACGTCCAAGGCACCTTGCCCCCAGTACGAAGCCGTGGAGAGAAGAGGAGAACGCGTGGCGCAGAACAGAGGCCCTCATCCTGGCTCCTCCTCAATCTGAGCAGGGACCTGCCGTCCTGGCCTTCCTGCAGGCCTGCCATGGAATGTTATTTAAAAACATGTTCGAAAAACATTCACGATGTTCTTCGAACAGGAAGACGGTTAATGAAACGAAGGCCGTCTCAGACAAAAGGGTTCTGCGAACATTCCGTGCGAACCACAATAGGTTATTAGAACATTATCTGGTGGGCACGTTGTGGGGGCAAGCAAAGACGCCTCACTACTGTTCGACCTATCGGGGAGACGTAAGAGTCGGGTTCGGCAGGGGACTCGGGTTGTCCTGACGTGTCTATTTGGTTTGTGGCGGATGACAGGGCCGTCAGGAAAATGGCGAGATCCGGGTTCCGGCGAACTCGAGTGTCTTGCATTTCCCCGACCCTACTTCTCCTCGTCACTTTTGGCATCATGTAGCCCGATTGCTTCGAGATATGGACCCCTGGGCCTGGGGGGCAACGATACGGGGGGACATCGACCGGGAATCGACCGTACATCGCCGATGGATCGGCGATAGGCCCCCGATAGCGAATCCGAACATTCCTGGGCGGGGTGGGCATTATCAAGCCCCCATGGGCGAACGAATGAACGATTGGGGGTCGATTCGTCCCTCCCCCTATGCTTATCGCCCGTCTCGTTAGGTCGGGCATGTCCTCCTACGGGCGGATCTTGGCGGACAAATGAAACATAGTAAAACACAGACCCACAAATAATACAAAATAATAGGAAAACCGTCCCCAGACTATGTTTGACTATTTTTGAATATTCCTCCTGTAGAGGGACATGCCCGACTTAACCCTACCGTTGCCACTGAGGACCTCTTGAGGAACCAAAGCTCCAATTCAACATAAGCTTGCGGAGGTCCGCGCGGATCTCGTGGAGCTGCGCCGAACCCCCCGTCGAGGAGCGGAGCAGGAGAAACCGCCAGTGGGGCCAGCGCCGATGCAAGAAATCCGCGCGGACCTCCGCAGGTTATGTTTATGCAGCTGTGGCTCCTCAAGGAAAGTTCGGCTACACGCAAGAGTGACCCTGGGTAAGAGTGACCTTTGGTGCGCGGCTTTGGGGGGGCCGCGGGGGGCCAAACGCGAGCGCGCAAGACGCCACTGCCGCCTCGCGCGTGGCGATCGGGAGGCCGCAGTGGGCCCGCACCCAAGGTCACTCCGGCGAAGGGTCACTCTTACCTGTAGTCAAAAGGTCCAGGAGGCCATAATTCGAAGCAACCCCGCTGCAGGATGCCAAGAGTGGCGAGGAGAAGGAGCGTCGGGGAAACGCAAGGCTCGAGATTATTTAGCGGCGCGCAGAAAGAGGGTGGGGGAGGGGGGAAGGCTTCTGCTTCTCAGAAGGCGCTGGCCCTACATCGATAGACAAGGCCCGCGCCTTCTGAGAAGCAGGGGTGCTCCTAAAAAAGCCTCCTCCCCTCCCCCTGCCCACCTCTGCGCGTCGCCGATGCGTGTATCTCTGGGGGAACCAAGAGGTACCCATGCCGCTACTCCCTGGGCCTCTCCTGGGATGCATCCTGACCAGGATCTCGAGGCGAATCCAGCGGTGGCGACGAGGGCCTCGCAGGAGGCCCAAAAAGGGCAGGGCAGCTTACCAGTCTCGAACGTATCCCTATCCCTAAGATTGACACGCCAAAAGGCGATGCCAATCTTAGGGATTCGCCCTCAAAGCACAAGGGAACCCCTAAGACTGGCATCGTGATGAGGAGGTGCCCAGCATAGGGATAGGGATATGTTCCAGGCTGGTAAGCAGCGGCAGGGGTGCCTCTTGCTCCACCGCTGCGTCTGCTTCGCCTTCGCTCTCCGAGACCTGGGCCCCCGGGGCCTCTGCGCCCTGCAGACGGCACCGTCCCGCGGGCCGAGCTCGCCTGGCCTCCCGGCGAGCCTGGTCGACCGCCCCCCCCGGACGAGGCTCGGGCCGGACGAAAAGGAGGGGATTGGGAAAGGGGGGGTTACGAAATCTGCAGCATGCAGCTGACTTCGGCCCCACCGAGGGGCCCATGCCTCGATACATAGCCGCCTCTGGCGCCGGGAAAATCAGCTACGCGAGCTGATTATTAAACCTGCCCTTTGCTATCCCCCCCCTTTCGCCCGGCCCGAGAGGCCACCAGAAGAGTGGCGGAAGTCTGGGCGGGCCGACTGATTCCCCAGTCAGTGCTTGCACTGAAGGGGTCCTAACGGAAATTGAAAGATTAGGCGAAAATTTCCCGCCGGTTTTGGTGGCCGACCGGGTTCCCGGGTTCCTGGTCGATCTCCTTTATCGATCTCATGTCAAACCATCCATTGAATGGGGGTTGCTTCTGGTTTGATTTTTTGCCGAGCCGCAGTGCTCCCCCGACCTAAATGCCCCTGCCAAGGTTTTGAGCAATCCAGATCAGTCTATGAGGGGGCCCAAAGACACAACAATAAATAGACACGAACTCCGGGATTCCCAATATTTTCTCATATGTTCTTGATGTTCGTCTTCCCCCCCAAGTCCCGCATGTTCAAATATTCCCTGGGAATCGATGACTACTCGTGCATGCGATTCTTTAACCCTCCTGAGCCTATTGGTCTAGAGGGCCACGTTTTAGAACCCTAGAAGGTCAGGGTGCATATTCCCCCTATCGTTGCCCCTGGCCATCCTCCTGAGACAAGCGCCTTCCCCTACTTGCAATCTTGACCACTCGCAGATGGCCTGGATCCGGCGCGGGGGATCTACGATCCACTACATGGAAACAATCGTGTGCGTTGTTTTTTTACGTTTGCGCCGACCGCGGAACATTTATGTTCGTGCAGGGCTCTCTTCTTCTGCTGCTCCGCGGGCAATCCCCCTCTCCCTGCAGTCGCATTCCTCCTCCTACTCCCCCTCTACCTCTTCCTCCTCCTCCCTCCTCCCCCCTCCTCCCTCCTCCCTCCTCCTCCTC